TTTAAAGTACTTGTGTATTTTTGGTGGTGCCCTTTAAGCCACATTAAAAGATGTTCCCCATGATGAACTGTATGGTTTTCAAATGTTTATTCACATTGTTACATGTCCCCAATGACAGTAGCCAGCCACCCACTTCTATCACTGGCTCCTTTTGTTCCCCATGGTCCCTGTGTATGTTATAAGGTAGTCACTGCTCCAAGCTCGCTCCCGGGATGGACTACAATCTCATGTTCAGTTTACTAATTTGTACTGAGATTGTAGTCCATCAACATTTTCTGTTTTTAAATTTGACTTCACAGCTTAATAAGGAAGTGCCCAAAAAGTAAGAGACTTCCTTATGACGTCATTGATTCTCTATATGGGCAAATGTTTGTGGACACCTGAGCCTCACACCATATGAGCTTGATGGACATCCCATTTGATTGACCTTCTATATAACAACTAATGGGTAAATTGATATTTTATGATTGCCTTATAATGGTGAATAGAGGATTATTGTGGACCATCTTATATTAAAGTGACATTAAACCCTCAGATTTTTTAACATAAAACAATACTGTACGCCTTACTGTAATCCATGGTAGTTTCCCTTCTCTTTGCTGCTCTTCCTTTTAAATCTGTATCTCTTCTCATGCTGGGGAAGAACTTCTGTTTTGCAGCTGAGTGCCTTGTCTCAGGAATGGATACATGGTGTCTGTGTATAGGTTTGTATGGGTTTGTAGCCTGAGCCAGCACTACAGGAAGAGGCCCTGAGCTGAAAAGGGAAGTTCTCCCCAAGCATGAGAAGACATGAGGAATAAAAAGGAAGAGCAGCAAAGAGAAGGGAAACAACCATGGATTACAGTAAGGCGCACATTACAGTATTGGTTTATGTTAAAAAATCTGAGGGTTTAATGTCACTTTAATATGTATATATAATATCACAACAGCTTGCAGTGGGTCTATAGGTTTGGGTCCCGAGTGATTGTACTCCTACGCTCGCCCACAGTATTTTATTTTGGTCTACAACTTATATGATTTCAGTTGTTTGTAGGGATGTTCAGATACCAAGTACCATACTCGGTACAGATACTTTTCGAGCTCCCTGACTAGACTAGAGAAAAATTCAAAAGTAAGGAGCACATTGGCTTTGTACATAGTTACACACTATTTGAGGTTGAATAAAGAAATAAGTCCATCAAGTCCAACATCTCTGTTATAATGTATGATTTTGTTTTTATAAATATATATAAGTGATGCACCGATACCATTTTTCCAAGTACAATTACTGATACATTTGTGTTTATTGTCATGTGACAGTTTTTCTAGAACAATACAGACTAATGATTTCAGGACAGTGGTGGAGCGCCAGAGCCGGGTCCCAGCTGCAACCGCCGCAACCCTGGTAGTTCTCATGAAAATGCCGAGTATCGGCACTGGTATCTGAACTGGTATTGGTGCATCCCTAATTGTATGTATAATTATCATTTAATGATTACAGTACGCTGTAAGACACGTGTATACTTTATGTTCATGCATGTTTCCGTATACACTTCAGTAGAGTCTCGTCAAATTCTTGGTGAAGATGCCGAGGGGGGCACTTTTCACCCAAAAAAATGGGCTGAAAATCTCGGCTTATACTCGAGTATATACGGTACATCCTTCGAACGTGTTGAGTGATATCTCCACTGGTCTCCTATTTGGGCTGATGATGTTAATGAGATAATCCGGATTCTTTTAGGTGTATAAGATCAAGAAAACGATAGAGGATAGGTGATAACTAGGGGTAACCCTCGGTTAAGGCTAACCAAAAAGTATAAAACATAATATATGATGTCCATATGTGATCCTTTTAAATCATTTATGTATGAATACATTTTGTATTTGGATATAACATGGAATGTTGTGTTTGGGTACCTTGAAAGGCCATCAGATAAAAATCTGACCTTATAGGATGCGGTACCCTAGAATTGTCATGTCCCGCTGACATACCTCTCCTAGACCCCCCCATGACCTTACATAGATAACAAAACAATGGACAAGAACAGGAGAAACCTATTTTTCTGTTTGTTAAAGTGACTCGGCCATTAAAGAACCAGGAAAAGAAGTGGTAAGTGTCCTCTTTTTGGCTGGTTTGTGATCATGTTCTGTTACAATGACATGGAAAGCACATATAATGAAGAAAACACAAGAGCAGCAACCTTCAGGGTGATGCCAGATGGGGGTTTGTTGTGTCTGTGCTCCTCCCACAATGGGGAGATTTCCCAGCAGTGGTTTGTGTCTCCCCCCCCCCATATTGAAATGTCCCAACTCAATTGGGTTTTGAAGTAACTCATCTCTGTGAAGGTGCGGTCACACCTTTTGGGGACACGTCTGATATGAATCACAGAGAGGACAATGTAACACGTATCGTAGGAAATGTCCCCCTTCCTCAGGGCTGGTACAGGAGCAGAATATCACCATGCTAATGAGGTTATTAGAGGGGCACTCCACATTGACACTGTCAGAGTCCCGGTGAGCTTTATTAATCTTTTCTGAACAGCCACATCGGGCCAATAGCCATTCGCTATGACCAACATCTGAGCACACAGCTCTGCAGTTCATGTGTACAAGTAGAGAAAGGTTCTTACTGCAAAGTAAATGATTATTTCTCTTTGTGAATATAATTATCTGTGTTCTCTTTAAACACTCAGTTATGTGCAAGGCAAGTAAGACGAATGGGATTTCTGCTCGCATGTGATTGGACAGTTCAGTTGAACACCTGATGCACTATGAAAACATTTCCTCCTCCTTCACTTCAAGAAGAGCCGACTCTCTACGAGCTGCTGATCTGATGCTACAAAGTGACGGATAGCGTTGTAGCTTATTGAGTGGCGGCGGTGATGTGCAGGGCCCTCCACATAAAAATCATTTAAAAAGTCAGTCACTGTTATTATTATTTTTTTAAATGGTGAATTTGTGCTTCATATAGTGACCAACATCTCGTACAAAATGTGTTTTTTGTTGTTGTTTATATATAAAAATATTTTACAGAAAGCGTTTAATTTCTGTGCGGAGCTGATTTCCATCGAAGGCTCCATTTCAAGGTTTAAAAACACTTTGTTACAATTTAATGTATTCAAAGGAACAACCAGGAGATACACATGTATCCTAATTGGCTGACCTCCTGAACCTGCCAGTCACATGACTCCCAGACTGACCCTTTGGCTTTAAAGTGACACAAAACTCCGGAGTTAAATCTTCAAAATACATTCCAGTCCCTGAACTCTGAGTAACAATGTATCTTATTTGTGTATCACTCGGCTGTAGATCCTGAAATCATCTCTGACACTGTCCTTCCTTCTGGAGGGGGGCTACGTCTGTTCCCCATGGTCCCTGTGTGTGTTGTAGAGTAGTCACCGCTCCAAGCTCCGCCCCCCCTGGATGGACTACAATCTGATGTTTAGTTTACTCATTTGTATTGAGATTGTAGTCCATCCCGGGAGTGATGAGTTTAGTGTCACTTTAATACTTTGAGTAGTCAGTGATCTGGTACAAGTTAAGGAACTCTGAATCTTCTACAACTGGTCAGATAGAAGACTGAAGGGAAGGACGGAGGTCAGATAGAAGACTGAAGGGAAGGACGGAGGTCAGATAGAAGACTGAAAGGAAGGACGGAGGTCAGATAGAAGACTGAAGGGAAGGATGGAGGTCAGATATAAGATTGAAGGGAAGGACGGAGGTCAGATAGAAGACTGAAGGGAAGGACGGAGGTCAGATAGAAGACTGAAGGGGAGGTCGGAGGTCAGATAGAAGACTGAAGGGAAGGACGGAGGTCAGATAGAAGACTGAAGGGGGAGGACGGAGGTCAGATAGAAGGCTGAAGGGGAGGATGGAGGTCAGGTAGAAGACTGAAGGGGAGGACGGAGTTCAGCTTTAACATTACATTTAAACTGTTTTATTTTTTTTAAAAATAGTATTTCTTCAAACACCTCCATTTTTTTACAGCATGAAAACCTTTGACTTAATTTTTCTTGTAAGGTTGTTAACAACCTTGAGACCCAAGTCAGCTCATGCTGCAGGCCAGCTTCACACCTTTGCACTGAGGCAGCGTGTGTTTTACCACATGTCACCCCAAAGCACGGTGATGCACAATTGGCAATGCGGCGCGTGGCCATCCATTTTGAATAACACCCCATTGCATTGGTTTGTTGTGGTGTGGTGCATAGCAAAATAAAGTGCAATTCCAGTTTTTTTTTTGTGCAGTGCGATCTCTTCAAGGAAACCTGTCATGAAAGAACTCAGGAGATGCCCATCCAGAGGCTTCAGCACTTTCTGAGCCATTGATTAAAAATAAAGAAATGCCAATAAGGTGATTTGATCTGGGTCATTTGGTGAGTGAAAAGATCCCCCCAGCTGCGTGAGTGACAGCTGGCTCTGCCTATCTAGAGGCAGAGCCAGCTGTACCCGCCCCCTCCCCCGTCCTTTCTGCCATTCAGCACTGGAGGATCGGACAGGGGAGGGGGGGGGAATCTCTGCGGGGAGCCGTGAGTGACAGTCACGGCTCTCTGCAGGGAGATGATAAAGAAGTGAGCGAGCGGCGGTATGTGTTCGCTCACTTCCCGATCATATTGAGCCGACGTGTGACGGTTTCATTGTCACACGTCGGCTCGAACTATGAGGTCGAGTGAAAATCACCCCCCTCATAGTTCTGCTTAAAAAATAAAGGAATGCCAATAGGGTCATGTGTTCTGGGTCATTCAAAGCGTTAAGCCCGAGGGCAAGTAGCATTTTCAATAAGGGAGGTTACCCCCCCCTCCCCCTAGTTCTGCTAATATGTAAATGATTGTATGACTGCGACAACAACAAAACAAGACAAAAAAATGAGTAACATCCATATCCGTTATCATGGCAAACTGGTTATTATTGTACAACCCTGTACAATACTTCAGCAATTTTTAAATATTTAAAAAGCAAAGAGTTACAAAACTGTTTGCGATGAACTGGAAATAGAAAAGATAGCACTTTTTTTTTTTTGTTTGTTTGTTTAAATTCCACTATATAGTACACCGTATAAATTACAGAGTATCCGATGCACAAACGCATCTGCCTAATATCAAATGTAAATTTGTTTTTTTCCGTTTTCATTTTCGAGTCTCGTTGTCCCCTTTTTGTTTCGGCAGAGTCCGTCTTTTTTTTTTTGTCGCTGCTTGGGGGGGGGGTCTCCCAAAGTCCCTATCACGTGTGACAGTGCTCCAAGTCTGGAACGCTGCTGTTGTTGCAGTACCTCAAGTTATTGGGGATGTGACAGTCTGTGTAAGTGAGGCCCCCGTTTGGGGTGTATATGGGCTGCAGTCTGAAACCTCCTTTAAGGAGCTGGTCATTGTTTAAGGAGACGATCTGGAAGCTGGTCTCCGTCATCTCCAGGATGGAGTTGTCCTTCTTGGTGCCCGCCTCGCAGTAGTCGTCTTTCCGGCGGCCACGGTTGTATTTCCACTTCTGGGACGTGTAGCGGCCCTTCTTGTGCATGTGCCAGCAGAAGACGCTTAGGAGGACTATGAGTACTATAATGACTGCACCCCCAATTAACCCTGCCAGCAGAAATGGGGAGCCCATGCCTGTCATCGTGTCCTGCTCGTGGCTAGAGGGGCTGTTGCTACCATTATTTGATGAAGAGGCCTTGGTAGTGGCCTCGGCACACACAGTCTCCTCACCCGCCTGGTAGTTGTTAAAAGAATCCAAAGGAACCAAGCAGATCCGATATGTGGACTTGGGTTCCAGATTTAACAGGTTCCAGTGATGTTTCTCACCATTGATTATTTGTTCGTTCACGATCCCTTCCACCAGGCTGTGACCCATCTTAACCCAAGTCAGCTTGTAGGAGACAACCATAACAAAGGTCAACCAGCTGATGTGGATGGAGGTATTGTTCACAAAGCGAATGGACATCTGGAGTCGTCCTCGCATGGGCGGCGTCACTTTCTCAATTACTATGATCTCCTGGTCAGGCTCAGTAATGGGGGCAAGGGATGGGGTAGGTGTTGGGGCTGCAGGTGTTTCAGTGGGAGTAGGTATAAAAACAGTTGTGGGAGGGGTAGTTGGGGCAGAGGTTGGAGGAGGCTGGGTAACATTCGGTAAGGTGAGCGTGGTGTTTGGGCAGGAAAGAAGGTTTACGTTGAGCTCTCTTACCGCCATTCCCCGGAAATCCTCTGGTCCCTGACACATAAAAGCACGAACATTGATAGCGGCCGGAAGGGATTTGAGCCACTCAGTAACCCACCGAATGGAGCAATCACAAAACCAAGGGTTGTTCCGTGCAGTCAATTGTTTTAGGTTAGTTAGGTTATCAAAAACCCCCCTGACCAACCTCTGCAGTCGGTTGTTTGATATATCCAATCTCTCGAGCTTGTGCAGTTTAGCAAAGGCTGACACTGGTATGTGATTAATTTGGTTGTCCTGCAGGTTCAGCTTTACCAAGTAGGTGCCCTGGAGATCGTTAGGAGGACTGGTGAGAGAGTTACGTACCATAGAAAACTCCTTCAGCTTGGGTAGATGCCTAAAGGTTCCATCAGAAATTCCTTTGTTAGATAAGAGATTGCCATCCAGAATCAAACGTTCCAAGCCGGTCAGGTTTTGGAAGGATTGGTCTGAAATAGTAGCGATACGGTTTTCGTCCAGCCTCAACTCTTGTAAAACAAAAGGGAGGCCAACCGGCACACTGCTCAAATGGTTCTTGGATAGAAAAAGCAGCTTTAGGCTAACCGCTTCGCGGAAAGCTCCGTCCTCCACCCCTACCGTTGAGATGGAGTTATCGTCTAAGTGCAGCTCTTCCAGTTTTAAAAGCTGTGCTAGTGCTACCCTTGAAATGGTCTGGATGTTGTTTTCTTGGAGGTGAAGCACTCTGACATTCTTGGGAAGGTTCATCGGAAATTCGTCCAACTGGTTGCCGTACAAGTAAACCGTGTGCACCGATTGGACGTTGTGCAGTTCTGCGGGGAATCCAGCATTGTTAATTTGGTTATTGTGGAGGTAGAGCACGGTTACACCCTCCGGAATTCCAAGAGGCACTGAGGTCAAACTCCGCTCGTTACAGTAGACATAGTTCCGGTCACAGCGGCACACCTTTGGACAAGCCAATGTTTGGGTCACCTGCATGGAAAGCCCAAGCAAGAACAGAATCCAGGACTTCGAGAAGGACACCCAGTCCTTGGGCCACAAAACTGTCCGAAGGCCCATTTCTGGTTTCCAAAAAATAAAAGGCCTTTGCTAAAACGAGAGGTGCAAAAGCAAACTCGGAGTGCAAATCTCAGCATTTAATGTGCTTTTGTCCGGCCATCTGGCAAGAATAAATCTCATCACAGCCAAAGGTGCCGTAATCCTTTGATGAGCGCACCTCCTGCCATGGATGGCGATGTAGCAGTCTCATTAGCCAGGATTGCACACCCGCAGAAACTGAAGCGCTCATTAATCACTTTGTAGTTTCCGTGTTTTGTTTCCACCAGGAAAGGATAAAGTTTGTGAAACTAAGCAGGCTTTTGGCACAGTGCTTGTTAGGAGGGTGAGCTGTCGTCTTGTCAGAGGAGATCGCTTTCAGGTTGCGAGAACTCTTTCACCTCTTCTCCTTCAACTTCCAGCTGCATGACCTGCCGGAAGAAAAGAAAACGCATGTCAGGAAAAGTGAACCCAGAAAAGAGAAACAAAAGCATGTCAGTAAATACGAAAAGTGTCAGAAACAGAAACTCATGGAGCGAGGGAAAGAAACACCAAATGTCATGAAAGCAATGAGCGCCCTTCCCTCACACCGAGCTCGGCAATGAGAGCCCCTCACACCGAGCTCGGCAATGAGAGCCCTTCACTCCGAGCTCGGCAATGAGAGCCCCTCACACCGAGCTCAGCAATGAGAGCCCCTCACACTGAGCTCGGCAATGAGAGCCCATCACACAGAGCTCGGCAATGAGAGCCCCTCACACCGAGCTCGGCAATGAGAGCCCCTCACACAGAGCTCGGCAATGAGAGCCCCCCACACTGAGCTCGGCAATGAGAGCCCCCCACACCGAGCTCGGCAATGAGAGCCCCTCACACCGAGCTCTGCACTGAGAGCCCCTCACACCGAGCTCAGCAATGACAGACCCCCACACCAAGCTCTGCACTGAGAGCCCCCCACACCGAGCTCTGCACTGAGAGCCCCTCACACCGAGCTCAGCAATGAGAGCCCATCAAAAAATGCTTTTTGTATGTTTAACTCATCTGGGAAGTCAGCAATCACGCCGCCCGCCCTGAAACATGCGGCTTTGATGTTTTATTGTGTTCTGTATTATTATAGCTCTGACATATACCGCAGTGCTGTACAGGTAACACCAATCCAATCACATTAGTCTCTGCACCAGAGGAGATTACACTCTAATGCCCCCCCCCGTCACATAATATTATCAATATACATGTATATAGCTTTGACATATACCGCAGTGCTGTACAGAGAACTCTGAGACAGTCATATCTGTCTCTAAATCACAGGAGCTTTCACTCTAATGTCCCTCAAAAGCCACCTATTATTATTATTATACATTGATGCCATGGTGCTGTACAGAGAACACTCAGCCAGTGACATATGTCTCTGCACCAGAGGAGCTTGCACTCTCATGCCCCCCACCCCATCCAGTCATATACTATTATTATACATTTATATAGCTCTGAAGTATACCGCAGTTCTGTACAGAGAACACTGAGGCAGTGGCATCAGTCTCTGTACAAAGGAGCTTACACTCTAATGTCCCCTCCCCCACAGTCACATCAGTCTCTGTCCAGAGGAGCTTACCCTCTAGTCCCCCCCCCCCACAGTCACATCAGTCTCTGTACAGAGGAGCTTACACTCTAATGTTCCCTCCCCCCCACAGTCACATCAGTCTCTGTACAGAGGAGCTTACACTCTAATGTCCCCTCCCCCCACAGTCACATCAGTCTCTGTACAGAGGAGCTTGCACTCTAATGTCCCCTCCCCCACAGTTACATCAGTCTCTGTACAGAGGAGCTTACACTCTAATGTCCTCTCCCGCACAGTCACATCAGTCTCTGTACAGAGGAGCTTACACTCTAATGTCCCCTCCCCCCACAGTCACATCAGTCTCTGTACAGAGGAGCTTGCACTCTAGTGTCTCAGTCATTGGATGGATTGGTGGTAGGACAGACGTGATGCTCCATCATGGTGTGACATCAGCTCATCCGTCAGTATGTTTTGGAGTGGTGGGGGGACATCGGCAGGAATTACATACAAACACGGGACAAACATAATAGCTTTGCGCCGATGGTTCGCGTGGAGGGAGTTGAACCCAGGACAGCGGTGTGTCCTTGTTTAAAGCCGTACTTCCCTCCTGTACAGTACATAGGTATATGGGAAGAGATGGAGCTGCGTGTTTTGTGTTCCAGTCCAGGTAACACAGCAATGTGCACACGGATTATTCCGCGGATGACACACAGAATATGTGGAAGAGAACATGGAATGCCAGATAATTAAAGGAGAACTATGGGGTCAGTTGGATCGAGAAGTGAGTGAGGGCTGGTATGTGTTCGCTCACCTCCCGATCTACTGAGCCGACCTGTGACAGTCTCATTGTCACAGGTCGGCTAGAACTATGAGGTGAGTGAAAATCACTGCAAGCTGCAGGAGGATGACAGAGGCACCTCCCATGGACACTGGGGTGACCTGCCTGAACCGTCACCCCAACAGGCAGGAAATGACTTTGAGCAGATTTCCAATAAAACCTTCAAAATATCTTGTGATAAATTCTCACACCCAGCGAGGGAAATGGCAGCGGACGCATTCTCACATACAAAACACAACGGTGATGTCGGCTGCTGGAGGGGCAGCTGAGAGGGGTCATTGCATTGAAGAAATCTCCTCTCACTTCCTGCTGTGCCTCAGGAACAGGAAATAAAAAGAAATCTCCCCAATGATACACAGAAGGAGTGTACTCCATCATCAACATGCTATGTAACGTAAAACCTGTCCGTTCTTATTACACACCTTGAGCTTCTCTCTGCAACGCAGGCAGATCATGGCTGGTGGGAGGGGCTGGCAGAGTGCTGTAGGTAGCTTTCTGAAAACATCACAGCACCCTGTCTCATTACTCATTTCAAGCCCTGATGCAAGCAGTGGGCCGGCTCTTGGGAGGAGTTATGCATATAACAAAATGCCTTGAACTGAAAATAAATGAATGAAAGGGGCGGGCCATAGACATTCCAGCTGTGGAGGAAAGTAGACTTGTGCGCCGTCAAAAAATGTGTTCCGTTTCGTAATATCCGTTATTTCGTATTTCGTAATTCGTGTCCGAAACTCAATTCGGATTCGTACGAAATACGGATTTTTGTTAGTTTCGGCACATTTTCGTAACTTTACGAACATTCGTTATGATGAAGTTAAAAAGTAAAAATACCTTTGTTAATATTGGAGTCGATGTGGTAGATGTTTTTTTATCCAAAATACGAATTCCGTTAACGGATTCCGGATCCGAATTTCGTATTTCGGACTTTAAAAAAAACTACCATCAACTCCAATATAAATGTACTTTGCTTTTTACCTTCAATATAACGAATGTTCGTAACGGAATTTCGTATTTCCTGCCTGTGTATTGTAATGCGACTCTCAGCGGCAGCGGATCCGTATTTCGGATTTAAAAACAAATCTTGTCATGTTGTTCAACCTCATTTACAGGGGTAATATTAGTTCCCGTTTCAAAGAAATTCGGATCCGAAATTCGTTAACGGAATTTCGTATTTCGGATGTAATTCGGAAACTGCAATTCGGATTTCGGATGCTTCCGAATCTACGAATTTCAGGAAAATTCGTACGAATTTCGATTAGTAACGAAACGAATCGCACGTCTAGAGGAAAGGGCTAGATCATACTGGATGTCCTCCAGCCAGGAAATGAGGCGGGATCTATCTGACTTGCTGCAGCTTCTAATGCACATTCTGAGAAGCTCCCAGTGTGCAGTAAAATTAGAGCAATGAATTTCAGTGCAGGAGAGGACAACTGCGCAAGACTGCAGGGGACGCCGGAGCTTAGCTTTAAACAGTTGGCAAGGCCCCTTGGCAGGGACTCGAGGGCACTGCGGTCACTGCGCGGGTTTATGTCAGATACGTAAAGTCATGTGTAACAAACAAACCCATCTCGCCTAAGCAACGTCCCGCCAGTCATGTGGAAAGTCGGCGGATCTCGCCGCGGTTCCCCAATCCTCTCGCCTTCAGTCTCCGCCGCTGACAGGGACGCGCTCAGCCGATCCCACGCCGATAAATAATTCACCTTTTCTTCCTTCCAATCCGCGGAAACGCCAGCAGGGGGGACGCGTAACCTGTATTTCCAGCGTCGCACAAAACACAGGGTTCATCCATCTGCAAAAACCGCGCGCCGGCCAAACCAAACATTTAAAGCCCGTCGGCGGCTTCTCAGCTCGCCACCATTATTTTTTTTATATATATGTTTATTTTTTTTTTCTCAGTCAACTTCAATCTTGTTTTTACGCTTTTAAAGGGGGGGGCCGCGTCGGCAAACAGGCCATTTTCTGTCACGGGCGAAAGCTGAAGGAGCAGCGGGAGGCTTCGCATTTATTTGTGAAACGCATCATTACCGGGAAAGCAGCCCGCGGTCAGAGGCAGGTTAAGCGCAAATGGGATTTTGGAGGGAGAATGGAGGCGTTTGAGTGGCGGAAGAGCCGGAACGCCGTGTGAGACCTCCCGCTAGAAAAGAAACGACGGAGGATTGTCAGCGAGCCGCTTATTTCTTTCCTGAATTATTATATTCAGCTGAAGGGGATTTTTTGATACAATGTTTTCTTTTTTTTTCCCCTCTCCCCGTCTCTATATTTACAAACAACACACAGAAACCAAACTACTGAAACATGAAATGTCGTCAGAGGAGGAGGAAGTATTGCCCTACCCACACAACTGATACATTATTATTATACAGGATTTATAGAGCGCCAACAGTTTGCGCAGCGCTTTACAATATAAGGAAGACATTACAATCACGATACAATTCAAGACAAGACGGTAAGGAAGGCCCTTCCCCTGAGGGCTTACAATCTAAGAGGGAGGGGCCAGTGATACATGAGGAGCGAGCTGTGTGGGGATGAATTGTATGAGAACGTGATGGTTGAGCGGTCAGGTTGAGGTGGGATCGGCTTCCCTGAAGAGAAGAGTCTTCAGGGATCTCCTAAAGGCAGTCCGAGTGGGAGATAGTCGGACAGGTTGGGGTAAAGAGTTCCAGAGGATGGGAGAGACTCTAGAGAAGTCCTGGAGGCGAGCATGGGAGGAGTTGACGAGGGAGCTGGAAAGCAGGAGGTCTTGGGAGGAGCGGTTAGGGTGATACTTTGAGACGAGGTTGGAGATATAGCCGGGGGCGGAGTTGTGTACGGCACTGGGTCAGGGTTGTGGGGAAGAGGCCCTTGTCCCCAACGGCATGGGGACACCCTCCCATTCGTGTGTTTTTAGGTTTGTGTTAGAGCTATTTCACTGTCTATTGATGTTGAATTGTGTTATAAAATTGTAATAATATATAAATAAACGTTGTATATTTTCGTGCTGGTGGTCGTATCATTGTAGCACCCAAAAGGTCCCTTGAAACAGTTTGTGGTTCTTAAAATTCATT